TGAACACGAATTTATTTTATTTATCATAATATATAATTTCTTAAATTGAAATCAGGATAAAAAAAGTCTTTTCACATAGAAAAATAGTTAGTTTTCAAAAAAAAAAGAAAAAAACTGTATCTTACAAAATTTAAAACACAAATAAAGTATTTTTCAAAAAATCTCTTTATTAAATGAAATGTCTCTTAAAATACTTTTAGAATAATATCTAAGATTTTTGTCTTTAATGTCTCCTCAATTTATATATATAGTCGTTGAGGTGGAGTTGAACAAGCCTTTCCCTCAAAAGATTGTGTTGGATGACAAAAAAGGTACAATATCCATAGTTGATGTGGAGTATTAATTCATGGATTCCCACAAAGTGTGGTAGATGTGGTCACTTAGGACACAAAGAATCAAAATGCCTCCAACAAAGTGTTCGAGTTTTACCTCAAGCAAAAGATCAATCCCCTGTTGAGGTCCCTATTTCTGGAAGTACCGCTAAATCTGTCTCAAACACTGATACAGTCCTTGCATCAAGCACTAGACAAGTCCCTATCCTTTGCAGCTCCTACAAAAATTGCTTATGCTACAGATATTACAGCTTCTGTTCCACCCACTACAACATCTGCTACAACATTTGCTACAGATACTTCAGCTTTTGCTTCAGATATATATCTGCTCTTGCCCTGGCTAGTACAATTTCTGTGATAGATGTTATATCCCCAGCCAATGAACCTACTACTCCTATAAAGACATTAACTACATTGGTTGTTGAGGTCGAGCCTACATCTAACAGCACTTACAATAGTTCAAACTGAACTGAACACTCCTCATCATGAAAACTACAAGATCATCTCAGAAGTTCTAGCCATCACTGGGGCTACAATGGATGAGACTTCTATCACTAACTCAGTCAATACTGAGATTGCTCCCATTAACACTACCATAGCAACCTCTTATGTTGCTTCCTGCTGCAGAATATGGTTTCTCAACTCCTTCCTCCCAGTCAAGAAACACCCAAGATACAAATGAGGTAGCTCCGATTATTCTTGGTAGTAATTCTTATGTTAGCATCGATGTATGAGGTTATGAGACACATGGACGAAGGCATGTCAAACCATCACAAAAAGTCTAAGAAATGGAATGGATTAATATTAGTGGACGTGGAAAACGTGGTCGTGGAGGCCGTGGATCACAATACTAGGGACTCGAAGTGAGATATTGATAGTGTAGCTCCTCCCTTAATCTTTTCAACTATCAGTGTCTTAAAAAACCAAGTGATTTGTATTCTCAAGCACCTTTTCTTTTAAACTTCTTTCTCAATCTCTATGACTATGAATGTCATGGCCTTGTAATTTGTTTTCCTTGTAATTTAAATAGAAAGCCTTTTTCAAAAAAAAAAAAATTATATGTAGAATATGCATATGAATAGAATAATGGATAATTGGCATGAATAACCAAAAAAAAAACTTACTAAAATTCTAACCAAATAACCTAAATCTATTGGCTATAAGTTAACCACATGGGGCA